CTTCGAACTCACAAACCTCCTGCCTCAGCCTCCCCAGCCGAGCTGCGGGGACACCGGGTGGCCCATGGCTAGAGACCCCTGTTGTGGGCTCCACCTGTGTGACCCGTGCGGACACCCAGATCCCTAGGCACAGAGTGCTGCCCGCCTGGGTTTGGGAGGTGATGGGATTCCTTTTGGGGATTAGGAAAAAGTTCCCAACTTGACTGAAGGAGCGGTGGCCTGGCTCCGGATATGCCAAAACCCACTGCTTTATACGCTTACCAGGAGTGAATTGCGTGGTGTGTTAATTATGCCTCGATAAAGGTGTTAGAAAAAGCCAAGAGGCCACCACCTTGGGGTGCACACCTGTGATCCCAGTACCTTGGGAGGCTGAGGCAGGAGGATGGAAAGTTCAAAGCCAGCCTTGGCAACTAGGTGAGACCCTGTCTCCAGGCTGGGGATGGGGCTCAGTGGTTAAGCACCCTGCATTCCATCCCCAGTACCCAAAAGAAATCAAAGAGCCCGGTGTGTTTGTAATTCCAGTCAGGAAGCTGAGGCAGGAAGATCACAACTTCAAGGCCATCAGGGCAATTTAGCAAGACCATGTGCCAACATAATAAAAAGGACTGGGCTGTAGCTCAGTATACAGCACTTGCTTGACATGGCCAAGGCCCTGGGCTTCATCTTGGTGCTCCAAACAGAAGTGAGGGCACATCACATTTGCAGGCTGTCCTGAGCACTCATGATCTCGCTATATCAGATGTGAGCAGCTGCTTCAAGTAGAAAAACACCCTCACTGTTTTTGCTGGGGAGGGGTGTGTGGCATGCATGTTTCTACAGTGAAGAGCCCTGAGTGATTCTGACTCTCCCCTCCCCCTGAGGTACCTGGCGTACCTGCCTCCTGCAGGCAAGGACGCCTTCAGCCAGCCACATCACTTAGTTTAGGGAAGACTGCTTGGGGGAGTCCCCCTTGCTCCTTGTCTAAAGGGGCGGGTGGCTCTGGCAGTGGGGATCCCTAGTCCCTCTGCTCTGAGGGCCTCTGGTGGGAGCCCCTGCAGGCCTGACTCCAGTAGGGACCTGTCTAGGCTCCTAGTTCACGATTAGCTTCTGGGGGCTTGGACCTGTTGTGACCCAAGGTGCAGGACCACAGTGAAGGTGTGGAGAGAGTGTCTGAGCTTTCACACAGCAGGCTGCACTGTGGTGAGAAGCTGTATCTCCAGCCAGTCAGCCCCTCTGAGAGCCGCGGCCTCCTGGCTGTGCTAGGTATTCTCCTGCCTGTTCTGGGGTCTCATATATGGAATCCTCCAGGATCTCATCTTGTCTCTGGCTTCTTGTATTCCTGGGTGTTTCTGTGGCTCACTTCTGTCGCTGCTTGTGTTGTGCATCAGTTTCATTCTTGAGTGTGGTTCCTTGTCTGGGCAGGCTGTGTGCTCACCTATTCTACTGGTGGGCGTTTGAGTAGTTTCTTGGCTTTATTCTGAATAAAGCTGCTATGAATGTTCTTGTTCAAGTCTTCTTGTGATTATATGTTTTTATTTTTCTCGGGCAAATAAATGCTTGGGAGTGGTGGACTTGCTGGGTCATAGTATGGATGAGGCTTGAGTTTGTAAGAAACAGCCAGCTGTTCTCTGAAGTGGTTGAGCCATTATTCCTTCCAGGAATGTTCCTATTTTTCCATGCCCTAGCCAGAAGTTTGGTATTGTCGGTCTTTTTGATTTGTTGGAGAGTTTGAGCAGAGAGATCTCATAATCTGTTTCTTTTCTTTCTTTCTTTCTTTTCTTTCTTTCTTTCTTTCGTGCTGGGGATCGAGCCCAGAGTGGTGTTCATGTGAGGCAAGCACTCTGCCAACTGAGCTATGTCCTCAGCCCCTCATAATCTGATTCAGATGGAAAAGAAAAAGAAGGGGAAAAAACGGCCTTGCATGCATGAGGCCTGGGATTTGATCCCTAGGTATGGGAGGAGAGTGAAAAATAACCACTCCACTGTGTGAGCTGGGAGTAGGGGATGATCCCTGCCAGGGCCGATGGGGGAGGGGCTATGGTTGGTGTGTTCTGAGGGAATAAGCAACAGGATTTGGTGAAGGACTGACTGTTGGGATGAGAGAGCCCCCAGGCTGTGGGCTGGAGTTGGAGGAGAAGGTGGAGTTTCCTGAGGTGGGGAGCACGTTTGAGAGGTCTGTGGGCACCAGGAACTGAGGTTTGAACTGGTTATATTGGAGATGTATGTAGATGCCCAGGTGGAAGTTAAATGGCACAGATGGTATCGAATGGGGGCATGTGAGTTTAGGAGGTGGAGTGGAGTTAGGAACTGAGCTTTGTACTCTAGTGTTGAGGGGTCAAGAGGAATAGGCAAGAGAGGTGAGGACTGGCTAGTGAGGCCAAAAGCTCAGGGAGAGTGGTGTCCAGAAGCTACATGGTCAACACTAGAGGAGGAGGACTGACCGATCAGGTGCAGACACTGAGAAGTAGCATTGGGTTTGGCTGAGTGGAGATGGAGGCCTTGGGGAGTTGCACTGGTAGAGGGGCAAGAAGTGAATGGGGGAACACTAAAGAGAGGGGCAGACGGCTGGAAGCTTGGTGCTAAAATGAATTGATAGATGGAGAAGGATTTGGGTCAGGGGAGGTTTTCTCTGTGACTTGATCATTTGGGATGATCAAGCAGGGAGAGAGAAGACAATCCTCGAGAACGGTGTACATAGAGTTCTTATGCAGTGAGAGGACCAGGGTACCACTGGAAGGCTAGCCCTGCAGAGAGGACACAGCAGGGAGGCTGGGGAGTGGGGTACAGGCCTAGTTGGCAAGGTGTCCAGTGAGAGTTGCAAGGAGCTGGCTGTAAGGAGAGAGGGCAAGTGCACCAGGACCCCCAAAGGATAGGGATGTGTAAGCTTCTTAGCCTTGTCCCTGCAGCCAGGACTGGGCTTCTCAGGCCCGTAGGAAAGGGAAGGCCAAGGGAGTAGTGGAAATGTCTGAGGGTAGTGCTAATGCTGGGTGAGATCAAGCATGGTGGTGGGTTCTAGATGCTGGGCTTTAAGCCCCTGTTGGACATTGTGCCTTCTGCCTTATTGGATACCTTTAAGCCTCTCTAGCATATCATAACTCCTTGCTCCAGGCTGGAGTGCCTTTAAGCCCCCTAGAATATCATACTGTCAGCAAAATTTATAAGTTGTAGTTTATATCATACTGTAGTTTACAAGTTGCTTGCTCTCTTATGAACCAGACTTTGTATACATAGATCTCTTAAATCTCTGATCACTTATTACATCAAAGGTAAAATAGTTCTTTCCCTATAAAAAGAACTTCCAGTTTGGACACATTCTTTAAGCCAAAAGGATGACAACAAAAACCTTCCTGAGAGAATTTCTTCCAAGGAGAAGGCCTTGATACTAATATCATTCCAGAAAGTTTTCCTTAGGAATTTGCTACTTGATCAAATAGGTAGTAATGTCAGTACTTGGGAAGTTTGGAAATTGAAATGAACCTTGGCTATAGTGACGGTGACATGTGTTGACATCTCCATTTCAGAAAAGTTGGAGAAGATGAGGGATCATGAGCGAAAAGAGGAAACTTTTACCCCTGTGCCTAGCCCTTACTACATGGAACTCACCAAACTCCTGCTCAATCAGTGAGTAGCTCTCCCTGCGACGGCCCCTGCCTGGGTGGACCCCTTGTTCTTCTTCTAGCCCCACTCTCCCTTTCTTTTATTATCACAGAAAGCGCTGGATTGGTAATCCGGTGGACATCTCTGTGTAGGATTGTGGGGTCTCTGTCTCTCATTTTCCCTTTTTCCCCACCCCCAGGAAATCTCTTGGGCCTTTCATTCTACCTCCTGTTGCTTGACATTGGACCCCACTGTGAGCCACTGTCATCTCCAGCGAAGCCTTTTTCTGAACTACATGTAGTTTACTTAGTGCAGTGATACCCCTCTTTATTCTGTCTGGAGTATGCGGATCCAGGTTCTTTGTGATTTTCGAAGGAGAGGCCAGAGGGCTCACATCTGGCTTTGTCCTAAGCTACAGGGAAACCACTCATGGTAAAAATATGCTTTATTGCCTACATCCACACGAGCTCCCTGGGGACTTCTAATTTGTTCATGTGGCAGCCGAAGTGATCCTTTAAAGATAAAACTGCCATGTGACTCTTCTTTTCAAAATCCTTGGTGCCTTCCAATGGGAGGGAAACCTTGGTGCTTTTCCAGAGTTTTATTGTATTTCTGTTTTCTTTTGTGGTGCTGGGGTTGAACCCATGGCGCTCTACACTGAGCTACATCCCCACTCTTTATTTTGAAACAGGGTCTTACTAAGTTGCCTAAACTGGCTTCAAATTTGCAATCCTTTTGCCTCAGCCTCCCAAGTAACTGGGGTTACAGGCATGTGCCGCCATACCCAGCTTTCCAGGGTTTCAGTCCAGAGCCCTGACTGCAGCATTTAAAGCAGTGCACGACCAGGTATGGGCTTCTCCTTCCCTCCTTCACAGCTGTCTGCGGTTCTTTCCTCTGCCACTGTAAGTTTTTGGTTCATGTTGGTCTCTTCTGTAGTACTTTTATTTTTTTGAGATGGGGTCTTACTATGTTGCCCTGAACTCCTGTTCTCAAGTGATCCTCTGGCTTGGCCTCTTCTAACACACTGGGTCCTCGTGACTTTGCGTACACTGACCAGGAAGCCTGCCCATTCCCTTGCCCATGTGGCCTGTGGTTCAGTACAATAAGTGTCCCTGCCAGATTAAGTGTGCCTGCTCTCTTGGCAGTTCTGCACTCTGCCAGTGTTGGCCGTAGCTGCAGTTTTCTAATCATTTGGCTGTGCCATTACATTCCCACCCCCACATACCTGTTCTAAATGGCCAGGCACTGACTTGAATGCTGTGTCCCCAGCATGGTGCCTGGTGTGCATGTTTGTCGAATGAATGAAATCAGCAAAGGGAAGGCAAGTGTGGGTGGTTTTTCCTGGGAGCATAATGTGCAGAAGGTTAAGCTCTTGAAGCTCCTTACTAAGCATGTTTTGGTTGATGAATTCAAGTGCTGAAGTAGAACTACAAACTGGTCTGTGCTACCACCACTACTGACTGCCTGCTGAACTTGTTTGTTTTTAAAAGTTTATTCTAATTTGTTATATATGAAAGCAGAATGCATTTCCATTCATAGTACATGTGTAGAACACAATTTTTCATGTCTCTGGTTGTACACAAAGTAGAGTTACACCACTTGTATCTTCATACAGGTACTTGGGGTAATGATGTCCATCTCATTCCATCGTCTTTCCTACCCCGTACTCCATCCCTTCCCCTCCCTCCCCTTTGCCCTATCTAAAGTTCCTCCATTCCTCTCATGCTCCCCAACCCAATTTCTATTATGGATCAACATCCTCATATCAGAGAAAACATTGGCATTTGTTGTTTTGGGATTGACTTCACTTAGCATAGTATTCTCCAACTCCATCCATTTACCTGCATATGCTATGATTTTATTTTCTTTTAATGCTGAGTAATATTCCTCTGTGTGTGTATGCGTGCGTGTGTGTGTGTGTGTGTGTGTGTACATACACACACACACACACACACACACACCACAATTTCTTTATCCATTCATCTACTGAAGGGCACTGTCTGCTGAATTTAAAGGAGAACTTTGGGCATCTAACAGAGACTTGTCCTTAGGTCAGTGCCATTCCTTGGGTAGATTCTGAGGAATAGCAAGGTGCCTGGCGTTGCACCAGGCTTGGAGATGGTTATGTGGGCCTCTTCCTGGTTTGGTGGGGGAGTGTGTGAACCTGTGAACCACTAGTTAAATCACAGCATGGTCAATGCTGTATGAGGGCTCAGAGAAGCCTCTGGGAAGCTCAGGCTCCAGGAAGGGAACTTCTAGGGCTGGTGGAGGGAGAGGCCCTGAGGCAGGAGCTGTGAAAGGCAGCATGAAGGGGCCTCAGGGAGCAGAGGCATCTGTGTGGAGTGTGAATGTGAACAGGGTGGGGGATGGAAGCAGGATTCTGTGTTGAGGAGAACTCCTGGGGGGGCCGTCCTGGGTGGGGAGGTTTCAAGAGAGACTGGCTTGGGGGTGGGAGCAATGGCTGGAAGGAGAGAATATACTAGGTATGAGTGAGTATTATCCAGGTGAAGGGCTTATTCATTTTTTTTTTAAATTATAGATGGACCCAATACCTGTATTTTATTTATTTATTTATGTGCAGTGCTGAGGATTGAACCCAGTGCCTCACTAAGCTCTATGTGCTAGGGAAGCTCTCTACCACTGAGCCACAACACAGCCCCCATTTTTAGTTTTTGAAGTTCCTTACATTGTATGTGTTTTTATCAAAAACCTTATTCTGTAATTCATTTGGCTAAGGGACTGAATTTTACCTTTGTTCTGCAGTTCAGTTGACAAGAACCTAGGGTCCTTTGTTATTTAACCTGCTGTTCAGAGCATAAGATCTGAATGTTTGGGTTCATAAATAAAATTTCACAGCATAGATTTCATACTGTGGATCTGCCGCCCACCAGTGCTGAGCTAACTGTATCATGTAGACACTCTAGCTTATCCTAGAGTGCCTAGTGACGGGCAATATTTGTTTCACCTTTTATTTTCTGGTCTGTCTTTGAAGATTGGTCTAGAGAATGTTCTACAAAGGAAAGCTGTTATTGCCTTTGCTGGATTGACTTCTACCCAGTCTCACTGCATGTGGTTACAGTACATCGCTTACGCTAATTTGCCACTTAAGTGATTTTTGTAACTTCTGATTTAACGGGGCTGGGGATGTGGCTCAAGCGGTAGCGCTCTTGCCTGGCATGCGTGCGGCCCGGGTTCGATCCTCAGCACCACATACAAAGATGTTGTGTCCGCCGAAAACTAAAAAATAAATAATTCTCTCTCTGTCTCTCTCTCTCTCTCTCTCTCTCTCTCTGTCTCTCTCTGTCTCTCTCTGTCTCTCTTTAAAAGAAAAAAAACACAACACTTCTGATTTAACTACAGAGTAGGACAGTCCCTCCTCTGCGGGGCTTTCATGAGGACAGGAGTGCTGTGCAATGCAAGGTGCTGAACACAGAGCTAGTGGTTTCCTTCCCTGATTGGTAGTGAGCCTGGATTACTGGGGGGGGGGGGAGTAGTGATCTGCTCACCACTATACATAAGGAGCCCTTGGAACCAATTCTAGCTGGAAGTTACGAGGCACAAAGCACTGTTGTCCTGTGGCATAGACTGTCTGATTTGGATCCAGTTAATCCTGGCAACTGCTGGCCATGGACACTTGGCTGAGGTAGGAGGATGGCAGGTTCAAGGCCAGCCTCAGCAACTTATTGAGAGCTTTTCAAAACCAGTGGAGTTGTATGTAGTTCAGTGGTAAAGCACACCTGGGTTCAATCATCTATACAAAATACAAACAAGGGGCGGGGTTGTGGCTCAGTGGTGGAGCCCTTGGCTAGCGTATATGAGGTCCTAGGTTCGATCCTCAGCACTACATAAAAATAAATAAATAAAATAAAGGTATTGTGTCCAACTACAACTAAAAAATCAATATTAAAGAGAACCAGTTCAGTAGCTGAATGTCCTTGGTACCATACTTACTCGTTGAAGTCCTTACATGTTAATAATGGAGACGAAACAAAACAGATTTTCTACATCAGGAATAGTTGGAATACTTTCCTGAATCTAAGCCGTGTTTCAGGTTGCCGTTGTGGGGTTTTGTTTTGGTCAGGCAGGTGCTTACTAACTTCATCCCTTGCCTCCTTTAGTGCTTCAGAGGATATCCCCAAAGCAGATGCGATCCGCACCCTGATCAAGGATCTGTGGGACACGCGCATAGCCAAGCTCCGGGTGTCTGCTGATAGCTTTGTACGGCAGCAGGAGGCACATGCCAAGGTAGGTCCTGCTCCCTTTTGCTGTCTTCCCCCTGGAGCTGGTGGGCTCTGCCCCCTAGTTTTTTTTATGCCCCTGGAGAAGCTCAACTCAGTGTCCTACTTGCTCAGGCTGTTGCAAGATAGGAGATTACTAGCCATGCTGGGGGTGCTCAGTGGTAGGGCACTTGCCTGTTCCGCCCTGGTATCTAAATGAAGCTACTAGAGAATCTCTTCACTATATACAATTAGCTGATGCCCTGGGTGTGATTTCCAGCACCACAAAAACCAAACAAAAAAACCCCCATTGGTTTATTCTTAGTATTTTAGCTTTTATTCAAAATCAAAACTCCTTGGCCAACTGAGTCTGTTTTCTCTTGTTGCAGCTGGATAACTTGACTTTGATGGAGATCAATACCAGCGGGGCCTTTCTCACTCAAGCACTCCATCATATGCACAAGCTCCGTACAAACCTCCAGCCTTCTGAGAGTGCCCCATCTCAGGACTTTTAGAGGAAGGCCTGTGGTTGGCAAGGTCTAGCCTGTCTTGCAGCAAACTGCTGGGTGGAGGCTGGTGACATGATGGAGGTACTTGTGTATCTGGAGTTCTGGAAACATTTTTAAATGTCTGAACAATGCTTGAACAGGTGCCGGGACTAGATCTGTAACATTGGTGAGAAGCAAATTCGTGATTTTTTTCTCAAAACTGAATACCCCTGAGCTGGGCATGGCGGTGCATGTCTGCGATTCCAGCAACTTGGGAGGCTGAGGCAAGCAAATTGTAAATTCCAGGCCAGCCTCATCAATTTAATGAGGCCCTGAGCAATTTGGTGAGACCCTGTCTCAAATCAAAAATAAAAAGGACTGTAGCTCAGTGGTAAAGCACCCTTGGGTTCAATCCCCAGTACCAAAAACAAAACTTCCCTGTTCAGTCAATCCCCAACTAGTTTTAGAAACCAGTTTTTCTTTTGAGGGGAAAAGAAAAAAGTATTAGGCAACCAAGTCCTCAGTGTTGCCAGAGCCTTGGATTTTCTGCATGAAACTGTCACCCATCATTGTGTTCAGTGACTGGTGTAGATATAGGAATGGCGATGAGGCTGGGGGCGTTTTCCCTCTTGATCCCCATTTCTTGAACTAAATTTAGATCTCCTAGAGGTTGTTCACGGAGGATGATGGTGTGGGTGACTGGAAACGCTGGCCAGTGTGTCTTCTAAGCTACAATTTATAATAAAAACACCGTCAGCCAGAATCTGACTTTGTTGGGTTCTTGTCCTGTGGCCGAGATGATCTGATACTGATAGGTGTGAGGCAGTTGACTGGAAACTTCAGACCAGCGTTCTGGACGATTGGGGAAAAACCTGTCCCAATGCATTAAGTGAGGCTGAAGACTGCTGGGAGGGAAAGGAGCTCTCCTGCTGCTCTTGATGGGTCAGGGAGAGGGCCCTTGATTGAAGACAGCAGTGGCTCAGGAGATTGATTATCCTCTTCCTAAGAGAAAACCACTTCAGTTTTTGAACTGCAGCATGTTGGAATTGTTGGGCCCCTTAACAGAAATTTCCTTACCTTGGAAGGGGATACCGTTATCCTGCACCATATAGTAAGTATGTTCAGTCACCCAGCTGGTTTTGACTTGGCGCCCAGGGAGCCCACAGTTTTGGTGTGTGGCTACCTGGCCGTAGTGTACTGCTCGACACCTGCCCTTCTGGGTTTGTTCCTTGAGCACTGCTGCTCTGGTCCAGAGCTGAGATGGCTCCTGAGCAGATGCTGGCTATCATGTGAGCACTGGGCCAGACAGACCTGGAGGGCTAGGGCAGAAGATGGCGAATCTGATTAAAGGTGCTGTTCAGACATTCGATTTCTCCTTTAGAGGTCATCAGGGAACCTTAGAATGAAAACACTTGTTACTGCGGAGCTCAGGGGCTTGTGCGCCTCCATCTCACACCTACCACCCTGCTTGAAAACCCGAGCCAACTGAGGTCCAGCTCCTCAGTTGACCTGTGAAACTATGTGGAGTTGGTGGTTGCCCCCCACCCTGGGGGTTGGGGGTTGTCTTATAAAAGATTTTTCTCTTGACATGATTTAGGAAGATTTTATTTTTTGGATGTTGTCAGAAATTACAGCAATATATTCATAAATACCTAATTACTACATTCAACAAATAATATTACAATACAGTTAATTCAAACAAGTACACTTAGAACAGGTTTAGTTTCACAGCATCTAAACTGCCCCCAGGGTGACCGAGGCACTGTTGTCCTCCCTCCTGCCCGAGTCTGGGTTTGCTGTTCTAGCAGTGAAGCACAGGGCACATACAAGTGACAACCAGCGAGCATGTCTTCCTCAGGTCAAGGCAGAGTCTAGCAATCAAGCGCTGGATCAAAAAGCTGGGGACAGGCTACTGCAAGTAGTGACCTGAAGTCAAAGCATGGTTAACAGGCAGAGTCGAGATCCTAGTCAAGGGGCTAATGCACTGTAGGAAAGGAACAGAATCTGCTAAACATCTCCATCTCCTGGTGGATCTTGGGAATTGTCTACACTTTACGTGGCTCAGAGGGAAGGGGCAGATCTGGTCTGGTCTGAAATTTAGCTTGCTTTTTGAAATTTGGCAGTATTGTGAACTACTTTGAGGGAAAATCCTGTTACAAACTTAACATTTCTTGTTTCATTTCCTTGCCGCTAAAGGTGTTGGCTCCTTTTGAGACTCAGTATCCTTAGGAGTACACGCTAGGATGATGACAGTACCAATTAAGATTAGAACTGAAGATGTGGAATCCTGTCTTTGTGGTCATGTTATCTGAGAGGAATGGATTGGGGGCTGTTTTGTTAGTCTGGCTCTGATTATATGAAACAACTCATTTTAAATATCTGGTTAAAGGTGGAACTACATGACCTAGCATCAGAGGGTGTCCCTTGCGTTTAGTGAATTCCCCATCAGGACAGATGGTGGCTGTCTCTTCCAGGTGATACGGCAGACACGGAACTGAGGAGGTCTGAGGTATTCACATAAATACTGACACACAGGTTACATCATCAGTTCTAGAGCAGATCTGATGGACTGCTCAACTTTTTTAAAAACATGAAGAGGGCTGAATAGAAGACCCTTCAGTTTGCATGTTCTTGTTAGCCCAGGTGAGGACAGACATGTGCTGTGTCCACCCGGAATCATCTGACAACGGGTGTTTTCAGAGCAGAGGGTCAAGTGCGGGGTGGGAGGACCACTGCGGCCTGGGTGGTGTGCCGTCCTTTGTGAGCTGCTTTCTTACCTTGCCTTTGTCTGTGCATACTGCCTGGTTTGTACTTGGATCGTGATTGTCACATTACTTCTCGAGCTTAAGAATCTTCAGAGGTCTCCACAAGTGGGAGAACAGGGAGGCAGAGCATGAGAGCAGGTGGGCCAGGACGGGCTTCCATATTGCTAGCTCAGCACCTTGGCTCCCACCAGCAGAGCTCTGCTCAGGTATCTAGCCTCTGCTCTACATGCCATGAACTGCCCCTAGTGTCCAACCTAGGGAGCGCCTCTCAGGTGCAGGGTGGGGCTGTGCATTTCCATTAAGTAATTAGAACTACTTTTCCCTTTTACTTTAGTCAATGCCATTACCAAGATTGACTGGCAGAAGCACCCAGACACGGCAAGCAGATTTTAAGCAGAGAAATTCAGTGGCAGTTTGCCCTGACTACTGGCTGTTTAGTTCCCCCTGCACACTTGTGACCACGTGGCTCCCTTACTTATAGTGGATTTTGCGGGAAGGTGCCTGACTGGCAATACTGCTGGCACTTACTGTCCGAGTGTGCTAATAACGGGAAGGTTCTTGGCAGGCATACAAACAGGCATGACAGCAGCCACTAACAAGCTGCTCTGCCCAACAGTGCTCACAAGAGCAGCACCAAGTGACCAGGCCAGGTGTCCTGCCCTGTCCACCCCCAGGATGCTAGGCTCTGGTTAGGGCCCTCTCCTGCAAGAGGTACTTGAAGGAACAGCAGCCAGGACTGGGTGTCACCCCATTGCTTCCTGGGGTTGGGATCTGCCCGGTTTCTGGCTGTTCCTGTCCTGGTAAGTTCAAAAGGGGTTCAGCTCAGACACTGTCGACCCTACTTCAGGCTTCCACAAAGCTTTGCATCTAGATAAAGCTGAGATCTCTACTTTCCACCTGCCGTCTGGTGTGTCAGAACACTAGGGCAGAGTGTTCACCTCCTGCAAGGTGCTCCTGGGAAGACCTGTGCGTGCCTGTGGCTGACCCACCCCGGCTGTCTTGCTCCCCCGACTCCCCTCCTCCCTTGCCAGCAGCGAGTTCTGTTTGCTCTGCCTGCTGTCGCCTTGCCCAGTGCCGGGGGAGGCAGGTGGAACGCATGGCTTTCTACATTGGTTTCTGGTGCAACTCAAAAATGAAGTGATCGCATAGGCGCCAGTGGTAAGCTCTTTTACTTTTCTTCTTCTTTAATTTTTAAAAACACTTCAATATTTTAATGTCCTGACCAGCAGCAGTACAAACACTAAAAGCAAGTTTTTGTTTTTTTTTTTTTTTGCCCAGAAAAAACAAAACAAACAAAACCCCCAAACAGGAAAAACAAACAAAATCCCCCAAACCACATATTAAAAATGGCAGGCTTTTTATAACAATAATTAAAGTAATAAAAACATACAAAACTTTTTTTTTTAATATATATACACAGTACAAGGCTGAAGCACCTTTGACTTTTCTCTCAAAATTTACGTTTGTATGAAAACACCACCCACTGCAGTAACAATTTGGTGGGTGTGAATCTATGTATACATAGAGCTCTGTACATTCTCCCCCATGGAGTAATAGAAAGGTACCTTCAGTCGTGGGTCTGTTTATCTTTAGGTGAGAGCATTTCCAGGCAGAAGCCTTGGATTGCTCTGTGTGCTCCTAGGACCTGTTGCTTTGAAGATAATTTTGCAGAAAAGTAAAACAAATAAGCCCTTTACTGAGGTTGCACCCAGCCTTCTCTTCAGCTGAAGCAAGTCCCACTCCTTGTAGGAACAGGGCCAACTCCAGGGCCACAGCAAGAGCAAGCCTGGTTCTTGCAGCACAGTAACACGGCACCACGAGGAACAACCAGCCAGGTCTGATCCAATCCCGTGCACCGGGGGCGATAAACAGTATCATTTTAGTGTTGGTAATGGAGCCTTCATTTCCAGATTAAAAAAAGAATGATGGGGAAGGAGGAGTAAAACCACCTTTGGAAAGAAAAACCATGGGCGTCCTACAGTGGTTGCTCGCTGAGTACAAGAGGTGATCCGACTGCATTGAAGTCAAGGTGAGTGCGTTCATTTTCGTCTGGAGCCTGGAACCTTTTGCTTCATGCATGGCACATTCTCATTTTTTAAGCTTCAAACCTCCCAGTGAAAAATATTAAATATTCAAGGTAATAAAATAGATAATATTTCTATACTATAGGTTCAGCCTAGTGCAAGGGAAACCGTCACCTCGGGTATCCCTTAAAGCAGCCCCTGGGCCAGTGCATGGCGGGCAAGGCAAGGCACTTCCGTAAGTGGTCCAGTTCTGCCTGGAGCCGCTCCCTCTCTGAGACAATCTTCTGCTTCTGGCTCCTCAACTCCTGGGGAAGGGAAATTCTTGTCAAAATACATTCATTCCATCTGTAAGTGTGTGGATTAAGCATGTATGGTGCACGTGTGTGCCATGGAAAGGCAAACCTGGCACTAGAATGTCAAGCTGGGAAAGGGATGTTTTCAGACAGTGGCCTCTTGAGGACAGTTTGAACTGGCTCTTACAGAGCCTTAGACTCTGGCAGTACTTACTCTTTGGAATGGGGGATTGAACCCAGGGGTACTCTCTCTTAGCAAGACCCAAAATAGTCACTGAGGCTGGCCTGGAACTGGCAATCCTCCTGCCTCAGCCTCTGGAGTCATCAGGTTTACAGGTGTAGGCCACTGTACCCAGCAATAATATATGCTCTTAAAGATGCAGCATGTTCCACTGTCTCAGCTCTTAGAATCCCCTTTGCCAATGCAATCCTCTTCTGTCCTCTTGAGCAAACAGCACGGGGAGGCAAACAGCACCTCTAAGTCCCATTAGCTGAAGATAACCCCCCTTCTTTGATGAATCTTAGCTAACTCACTGATGTCTGAATTTCCCTGTGAAATGACAAGTTGTGACCTCTTTAAGGAGATTACCCCTCTGAGGGCCTATTCAAGTCTCAAGACGACACCCACCCCCCAAACACACACACTCACCGCCATGCTGTGGGAGAGCTGCTCTGCTGCCA